TCTCCTTCTCCTCCTCTTCCTCCGCCTCCTCCATCAGCGACCTTTAGGGAAGAGAGCACCGTTACCCCTAGTCTTGCGCGCTGCCAGCTCACGCCCCCTTAGGGCCCGTCGGATTCGATCGATCCGATCGGATTTCGAGCTCTTTGGGCTCGATCCCATTCGGTTATGATTTTCCAGCGATCCGATGCGGCCCGATGCGTGCGAGGCGCAGTTGTGCATCCTGGCGCGGGCGATTCGGTTCGATCTCGACTACGTGCCAGTGCGGCCCGATCCGACCTGCACTCTAGTCCGGTCCGATGTCTCGATTCGATGCTGACGAATTTTGCCCCTGCCTCCTCTGCCTCCTGCCTTCCCCCTGCCTCCCACGAGATCCAACGTCTGGAACAAGTTGAAACATGGTGAAACTTCGCGACGAAAACCCTAGGGCCCCACCTATCTGCAGCACCTCTCGAGCCAGATCGATCTGCGAGGGCCCCAGGGCCCAAAACCGGGCGGACATGCCCATTGCGAACAGAAATGCCGGATGCTTCCTGCACCCCCTTCGCCTCCTCCGTGCTTGGCCTGCCGTCGGGGGAGGGAGGGTGCGGTCAGAGTCGGCAGTGAGGGTTGCGATGCTTCACGAGGGCAGCCCCCGCGTCCTCGCCCGCCTGGGTCCCCCTCCGTTCGGCCCCCCACGCCACATGGGCCGATCCCGCGTGGACGCCTCCCGGGGCACTGCACCCTCCTCCAGAACCCTCCCTCGGTCAAGGCGCACCACGGGGGCGGGCCACTCTGCAAGGGTGCCCCTGCATCCTGGCCGCTCTGCCCACCCCTGCGTTTGGCCAGGGCTCATGTGCTTCAACTTCGGCCTCGATCCGGGCGCCCGAGGGCCCTGCATCCTTGCGGTGGTGACCCATGCCAAGAAACAACCTGCTTGCCTCCAGGGTGCCCCGGGTTTCTTGGGTTTCGATGGTTTTGCCACGGAAAGCGTGACGATCCCACACCAAAAATCAATGGACGTCCTGGGGTCTCAGGGTTGGGTTTCTTGTGGAAGGTTCTTGTGGACTCCGCGCTTTCTGATGATCCGGTCGCACCGTGGCGATTGCTGCTGCCCTTCGCCACCATACCAGGGCCCACAGCTCCGCCCTGGGCCACCAGGGGCTGCCTGGCCTCCCCGCCTCGGCGGGGCGAGTCGGCACGCACCACAGGGCCCCTCGGCCAGGCGAGGGTCTGTGTGGGAGTCCCTGTGCTGGGCCGTCGCTCCCCTCTCTCCTCGGGGCGATCGAGATGGATACGGAAAGAGGGGGTACGATGCCCGACAGCAGTTTCCTGTTCGTTTTGGACGGCTCGCTGTCCGCGCCGCCGCGGACGCAATCGGCTCGTTCAAGACCAGGCCTCCCGCCCAACAGCGGCCGCTGTCGGTTTTGGACAACCTTTTGGGCTGTTGGGCATTGTGCCCATGTTTACCGTACCGTACGTCGACGAAATGTTGCACCACTTTTGCCGCGCATTGTCAGCTGTTTTGCATTGCTCCTCCCCCCCCCTCCCCCTGATCTTAATATTGGGCACGTGGCAAAGGTCCCTTGGCGCCCCCCTCAGGGCTCGCGACATAATGTTGCACCACCGAGCCGTTTCGATGAACCTGGGACCGCAGCCAATGTTAAGATTGGGGGGAGGGGGGGTGGAAGCGAACATCCAGTGCAAAATCGGCTTGCTTTCTTGACAACACCAGGTGGTGCAACATTTTGTCGATGTACCGTACCCATTCCGGGCGCCCGAATCTCCCTGCTGCGCCCCCCGCTCTCCCGCCCGTCCCGCCACTCGGGCGACCGGGCCTGCGCACATGATGGGCTTGTCATCCACCACCGCCACCACAAGTTGGAGGGGGGAAGGAGGAGGAGGAGGAGGAGGAGGAGGAGGAGGAGGAGGAGGAGGAGGAGGAGGAGGAGGAGGAGGAGGAGGAGGACCCCCTCCCCCTCCTACTTCTGGGTGGTGGCGGTGGAAAACAGGCCCGCATCCCCTGCCCCCCGTGCCCCCGTGGCCCATGTCGTTGGCATCGTCGTCGCCGCCGTCGTCGCCGTCGCCGTCGTCGCCGTCGCCGTTGTTGCCGTCGTCGCCTTCGTCACCCGCCGCCGCCGTGGCCTCGCCGCGTGCGTCTTCGTTGCCGTCGCTGCCACCGTCGCCGCCTTGGTGAAAAGGGATACCTGTGCGGCATGTTCGCGCCGCGTGGACGCGGGGCGCACCTATGGCGGGCGTTCGAGGGTGGCCGCCGCCGGTGGCCTGCCGTCGCCCGACATCGACAGATCCGCGCCATCGGAACGATCCGCGAGCGTGGGAGGCGAAACGATCCACGCGGTGTCAGAGGCAAGCGCACGGGTCGTCACGGTTACCGTATGGACGTGACAGCCGGTACGTGGGGGCGTTTTTTTTTTTTTTTTTTTTTTTTTTTTTTTTTTTTTTTTTTTTTTTTTTTTTCTCTCTCTCTCTCTCTCCCTTCCTCTACCCTCATCATCAATATCACCATCAACATCCTCATTCCCCTCCTCCCCCTCCTCATCGTCGTCACCATCATCCCTCCTCATCGTCACCACAATCGTCATCATACGTACAATAAAAATAATGAGAAATCCATACATTCGAAAGCAATAAGACATCCATACAATCAAAAACAATCAGAAATACATACCATCAAAAACAAAAAGAAATCCATACACTCAGAAACAATCATAAATCCATGCAATGAAAAACAATAAGCAATCCATACATTCAAAAACACACAGAAATCCATACAATCAAAAACAATGAGAAATCCATGCAATCGAAAACAATACGACATCCATACAATCAAAAAACAATAAGACAACTTCCTGGGTCCAGGAACCCTGTGAGGAGTCCCCCAAAACGACAAAACTTGTGCTGGTTTCGGAAAAAAAACAAAACATCAATGGTTTTCGGGACTTCGGACTTCCTCCGTGCCCCTCCAGGCCAGATCCGCCCAGGCAGCCTGAAGTCCCGAAAACCATTGTTTTTTTGTTTGTTTGTTGTTTTTTGGGGGGAACCCTCACATTTTTTGTTTGGTTTGTTTTTGTTTTTCTTTTTGTTGGGGACCCTCACAGGGCGTGTAGCTCTAAGGCAAGGAAGCTTGTGACTGTCACTGAAAAATAAGACATGAACTGCAATTGAACATTCATAAAACCTGTGAGGGTTCCAAACAACCAAAGATTTTCGCGCGATGGACCACTCCTCCTCCTCCCTTCTCCTCCGCTGCCCGAGTGCGCGAGAGACCGCACGCTGCCCACGGGGCCCTGCTCACGGGGCCAGGCTGCATCGCGGCCACGGCCTCAGGCTGCGGCTGCCCCGTGCCCCGCGGTCCGCCGCTGTCCGCTGTCGGGGTGCCCGCGTCCGCCCAAGGGTCTCCGGCGCCGTGCCGTTTGTTGTTGTTGTTGTTGTTGTTGTTGTTGTTGTTGTTGTTGTTGTTGTTGTTGTTGTTGTTGTTGTTGTTGTTGTTGTTGTTGTTGTTGTTGTTGTTGTTGTTGTTGTTGTTTTTTTGTTGTTGTTTGTTTTTTTGTTGTGTTTGTTGTTTTTGTTGTTTCCCCCTCGGCTCTCGGCCGCCAGACCTCTCGACGCCATCCCAGGGACCAGCTGTGGCTCGAAGGAGAGCAGAAGCGCCATTGAACAGAAAGTTTTCGGGCGCTCCGCGCATATTTCGTGGAACCGCGCTGGGGGCCCCTGGCGGCGTCTCCGGCGCCGCCCCTGGCGCGCTCCGCGCGCCAGGGAGGGGGGCCAGGTCAGATCCAAGAAATCCGCGCGGACTTCCAAAAGTTTATGCTTGTGCCGTTCTGTTCTCCTGGTAGCACCGCTCAACGGTACAGTTGAGACCCATGCGAAGAAACACCTTGCTTGCCTCCAGGGTGCCCTGGGTTTCTTGGATTTCAATGGTTTTGCCATGCAAAGCGTGACGTTCCCACACCAAAAAGGACGTCCTGGGGTCTCAGGGTTGGGTTTCCTGTGCAAAATTTCTTGCTTTCGAGCCCATGCTGTATGCTTTCGACCAACCCTGCAGGGTGGGGCCTTTCCAGGTTTCTGTGCGCTTCCGTTGTGGCTTCGGCTTCCGCCGTGGGTGCACCGTGGAACGCCTTCGGTCTCGCTCACCCGCGTCGGTTTTCCGCTCACGTGGGCGCCCCCGCCCCCCCCCCATTTCGGCGGCGAGCAAGGGGGCGAAGTGAGAATGAGAAGGCCTTCCCAGAAGGCGGCGGGTCTTCTCAGGAGGCCTCCAGCCTTCTGGGAAGTTTTATGTGTCTTCGTGGTCAGAAAACTTCTCAGGAGGCGGGGGGACTTCCGAGCCTTCTGAGAAGGCCTTCTCCTTCTCACTTCGCCCCTATCGCGCCGCCGACTAACCCAGGGACCGGTTTCTCGTCCAGGGCCGCTTCTCTGGCGGCCCCTGTGCCCGACGCGGTCTTCCTTGCTGTCCCCGCTCACAGCGCAGCCTCTGACCGCCCACTGCTCTTCAAAGGTTTTTTGGAATGAGCAGCACGTTTTCGTCAATCAGTGCATGCTCAGGGGCAGCGGATCAGCACATCAGTGGCCGTGGGGGAACTGGCCGACACCACACCCTCGTTAGGCCGGAGGCCCGGGTCGGCTCTCCCTGCGTCCGCTCAAGATCGGTGGCCCCTCCCAGCGTCCCCGGCCAGATTTTGCTCGAGCTACGTCCGGCCCTGGCTACGAGGGCTCCCCAGGAGGCCCACAAATGGGCAGGAAGCGTCACCAGAGTTTGGACCTCCGACGCCGTGATCTTCTCACGACGTGGGTATGCCTCGAGGTCTCGACCACTTCCCAGGGACTGGTGGTCCATCCCGGGTAGTTTTCTGACGGTCCGGGGGCCCGACAGAACCCTCCGGATACGCCGAACACCGCCAACGCTCCATCGTAACCCTGTCGCAGCGCGAGGAGGCCCAGGAGCGTCGAGAGGGAGGAGGTGGGCCGCGGGGGGGCGCCAGCCTTTGCTCCCCCCCCCCTGGCAGGACAGCGTCAGCAGCCACCTGCTGGCCGAGCTCAGGAGCGCCTGGGGCGAGCTCGGCTCGCGCAGCCCTCGCGGGGCGCCCGGAGGAGGCCGGCTCGTGGGGCAAAGGCAGGGGGGGGCCCAGACCTCCTCGCGCAGTGAAGAAATCACGACGAGAGGTTTTTCGCTATTTTCTGCCTCCAGGGGCCCTTCCCGGGCCTCGGGACCGTCAGCAAAACGACTCAGCATGAAAAGCCGGTCCCCAGGAAGGGGTCCAGACCTTTGGGGGCCGACGCTGTGAAAGAGTCACGGCGTCGGGGGTCTGGGTATACACCGCGTCGTTGGGCCGGCGAGGGAACCAAGGTTCTCGGCGTATGGACGCTCCAGCCCCTCCTCCTCCTCCCTCCTCCTCCCTCCTCCTTCTCCTCCTCCTCGTCCTCCTCCTCCTCCTCCTCCTCCTCCTCCTCCTCCTCCTCCTCCTCCTCTGGGGGGGGGGGGGGGGGGGCGAACCCGCGGGGGGGGGGGGGAAGCATCGGCCCTCTGGCGCCCACTCGTCGCCGATCGGGGCCCGGGTGCCCCGCCCTGCCCGGGGGAGCGTGCGGCGTCGCTCGCGGGGTGGCCCCTCGCCGATCGCTCGGCGCTGTGCTGGTCGATGCCGCCGCCCCCCCGCCGGGGCCCTTGCCGTCGCTCGGACGTCCATATCCCGTGCATTTTTCGGTTTCGTGCGCGCTCTTTCCGCTCGATGATCCAGGATGCTCCTCAAGGGTCCTCGCCGAGAAAGAAATATACACACACGTCCGAGCGATGCCAGGGGCCAGCCGCGGGCTCCCTGGGCGGCCGCGGGCGGCGGCGAGGGCGGCGGCCCGCCGCCGGCGACGGCGCCGCGGCGATCTCGAAGGGGGTGCGCGGGGCGGCCGCGCGCCGCGCCCGAGCGCCCTGGAGCGCGCTCGGAGCGAAGGGTCGGGGGGCGCGGGGCGCGACCCCCCGCCCCCGAGCATCGTGCCAGGCCTCGCCCCCCCCCCCCCCCCTGTCGGCCCTTCTCCGCGAGGAGGCGGCGCGAGGAGGGAGGCCTCCTGTCGGGGGCGGCCGCCGCGGCCCGACCCCTCCCGCGGTGGGCCCCCTCGGATGGGGGCCTCGAGCGCCTCGGGCTCGTCGCGGAGGGGGCTCGCCACGGAAGGGGTCGGCCACTCGCGCCCCGCCCGATCCTGCAAGAAGACGGGGGATTTCTTCGAGTGAAGGGGCCTTCCCAGAGGGACCCTAAGAGGCTTCGCTGTCGCCGTCGCCGTCGCCGTCGCAGAACGCCGTCGCCGTCGCCGTCGCCGTCGCCGTCGTCGCCGTCGTCGCCGTCGTCGTCGTTGTCATCGCTGTTGTCGTCGTCGTCGTCGTCGTCGTCGTCGTCGTCGTCGTCGTCGTCGTCGTCGCGATTCTAGGCCGGCGGGCTCAGGAGCCGCCCCCAGAGCCCTCCCGAGGGGGGCCCTTCTTGGGCGCGGCGCGGGGCGCAGCGCGCGCGGCCACTTCCGCGAACCACATCGTGGCCCCCTGGGGGTCAGCGCCGTGCTGCGGCAGCAGCTCTGGAGCCCGCGGTCGGCTGGCTTGAGGGGGAGCTCGCGGAGGCAGTTGTCGGCGGCGAGCCCGGGGCGGGCCGTCTCAGAAGGCTCGGGATTTCCCTGGCCTGCCGATAGGTTTTCTAAGCCTTCCCCAAAGACAGGGAAAGCTTCCCGGAAGGCCGGAGGGCTTCTGGGAAGTCCCGCCGCCCTTGAGAGGGCATTCTCCTTCTCACTTCCCCCCTCGCTCGCCGCCGAAGTTGGGCGGGCGCGCGTGAAGATCGATTGGGTGTTTCGGCGTGGGCTGCGCCGCGTTGCGGACTTTGGCGTACGCAGGCGCGCTTTGGGCACTGGTGGCGATGGTAGTGGCCCGCTCATGGGCGGGCGCAGGTCACGCGCAGGTCGAGACCCGACTGCGCGCGACGAGTATGGAGATGATTGTCTTGTGGTTGGCCCCCTTGCCGCCCACCTGCGGTGGCAGGGGCCGAGCCCTGGCGATCTCCTTGTCGGGCGGGCGATTGCTGGTGGCGGCTCTTGCAGGGCCTGCAGCAGGCGCTGTCTCGGTGCTCGCAGCCGCTGGGCCAACTACGCCGACGGACTCGCTCGTCACCTCTGTCGGGCTTTCGTCCCCTGCTGCGAGTCGCCGCTGCTTGCCCGCGGACCGCGCCTTCGTGGCCGGCTGTTGCTCGCGGAGCGCCTCACTTGTGGCTGTTGCCACTACGAGCATGGCCGTGGCGGCCAGCAGCAAGGCTGAGCTCCGACTGCAGCTGTCCCAGTCTTGTCGCAGCGTCTTTGTTGTCGTCCTCTCTTGGTGTCAACCTCGCAGCCGTGTCCAAGCAGATAGATGTGCTTGTCCTCGCCTGATGCGGCTCCGAGTTGTTCCTCTGCAGGCTCGACCGAGGCGTGCACCTGCTTGATGAGACCCTCATGATCGAGGACGTGCTGACGCTGCTGCTTGAGCTCAGCCTTCGTGACACCAAGCTCGCTGATGACCCGCTGTAGGCTGGCCGACTCGTTGCATCTGATTGTGCACTGCCATGGCCTGTTTCGGCAGCGGCGGGAGGTGGACCTCCAATGCTTCCTTGCATTCGTGCTCGGCCTGGGCCCGGAGGGGTGTTGAGCACCCGCTGCGCCGCCAGCCTTTATCGAGCATGTCGCTGCGAGTCTCCAGCTCCTTCTTGCCCAGGTCGCCTTGCCTGGCCGCAGTCCGCTGCGTCGTCGGGGCCGTGGAGCCTGGGGCCGGCGCGCAGCGGCAGCGGCGACCCGATCCTCGGCGAGGCTCTTGCCCCTGCTCTCTCCGGCAGCGCGTGCCCGCACACCTTGCAAGAGGTCGAGTCTTCTGCCCTCCACGTGGCGCAGGCCAAGCCTCCTCTGCCTCCGATGGCCTCTCGGAATCCAGCGTCAGCGGGCTCGACCATCTTCTCGTGATGCTCGGGCACCTGGGGCCTCGTCGGATCGCCAGAGCGAACGCGAATGATAATCATGACCACACTTCGGGGATTGACATGTAAGCGTGTCGCATTGTAACATGTGTGACGCTTCCTCCATCAGCAAATATATCTTCGGCCGACCTTGGGCAAGTGCTCGCTGCTGGTGCCGTCGAGTCCTGCTTCAAACAAGGACGTGAGCCGAGACGGCTGCTCTCTCTGTCTCTCTTTTCTATCTCTACCTCCCTCTCCCTTTCACTCTCTCCCTCTCGCTCTCCCTCCCTCCTTCCCTATCCTCCGTTCTCTCTCACTCTCTCTCTCGTTTTCTCTTGCTCTCTCTCAATATGTTTCATGCGTGTGTGTATATATATATACATACACAGATTTTCCCCCCTCTCCTCGCTTTCTCTCTCTCTCTCTCTCTCTCCTCTCTCTCTCTCTCTCGCTTTTTTGTTGTTGTTCTCTCTCTCTCTCTCTCTCCCCCTCTTCTTTCGCCTTCCTTTCTGCGTGTGCGCGCATGTCTGCGGAGCCGAGGTGACGGGGATCACCCCAGAGAGAGGAAGCGAACGTTGAAGGGCGTGTTCTTCCACCAGTTCGGGGACCACAGCGGCGACCACGAGGGCCAGGACACGACGCGACGGGGGAGCGTCTCCTGCTGGTCGGGCCCCGAATCGCATGCAGTGCCCCAGCCGATCTCGGCGCACCCCTCACACGTTTTGTGGCCCCGCAGGGAGCTCCACCGAAGGTCTCAGTGGCAGGGTATCGCATGCGCCCCCCCCCCGCCCCCCCGCAAATTTGGGGGCACCCCTCATTTGTTATGCGGCCCCTCTCGCGGCTCACCGCCTCTGGGGAGAAGGCCATATCCTGCTCTACTCACAGCTGCTTTGGGTTGCGTCCTTCGCCATTCTGCATGCTCGTTCATCCGAGGTATCAAATGATACCATCCCTGGTCAACATGTATCGACACCCCCGCGCCCCCCCTGCAAGACGTACCATGCGGTGCACACGCGTTGATGTAATAAGCGATCTCTGTTTCAAGCCTGATCATATAGTACCCCTGTGGGCCATATGCGCGCGTCGCTGCGTGCGCATGACAAATTCACTCAAGCATCAGTGGTTATCTCACCGTCTCAAGACAGCTGTTCAAGCATGGACAACACCGTTTTGGCTTTTAAGCCAAAGGTTGTCAGGCGTCTGCTCGCGCGCACTCGTTGAAATCATAAGAAACTGCTGCCTTTTTAACTGTTCTGTCAAGTGAGGGCATGTCGGCCACTTTGAAGTCGGCGGCGCAGAGGATCCTCAGGCGCGGACGGCAGATGGAAGTGCCAATTGCGATCGAGCATTGTCTAAGGCACGGTGCACAGACGTGCACTGTCAAATGCAGCGATGGGTGGTGTGAAGGAAAACCTGTAAACCCAAGCGATTCGGGCATGTAGGCCACACGCGTGCGCATGTCGAAACGACGCAAAGATCGCGCACTCCCCAATTCTATCCCATACGACCGTGCGGACCACACGCGGGCGTCTGCGCGCGCAACACGTCGACGTCCTTCTCAAGCCAGCTGTATTTTTGTAAGCATTTGAATGCAGCGATAGCCAAAAGTAAACGACAACCACATTGTTCCCAATACGAATTGCTAGGACATGGGGCGATGATGAGGAGGATGAGGAGGCGGAGAAGGCAGTACGCAGAGCCTCCTCCTCGTCCTCCTCGTCCCCCTCGTCCTTCTCCTCCTCCACCTCCTCCTCCTCCTCCTCCACCTCCTCCTCCTCCTCCTCCTCCTCCTCCCCCTCCTATTGGATATCTGGAATTCTGCGCGCTCACTTCCTCATTAGCCTTATCCGAACCAGTGCTACCATCATCACCAGCATCATTGTTGCCATCGTCATCATTGCCGTCATCGTCACCTTCGTCGTCGTCATCATCGCCACCGTCATCGTCATCATTGGCATCGTCGATGTCGTCGCCCTCGTCACCATCGCCACCGTCATCACCATCGTCAGCATCAGCAGCATCATCATCATCAAGATCGGCATCACCATCATCAACCT